CAGGACTTTCATCATCATCATCATCATCAGTCACCACTTCCTTCTGAAGGAAGTAAAGATGAACTCTGACCACATTGAAGAAGGACAACTTCCCTTTACGCAGCTGGAAACACTCAGAGGTTTGTGGTGAGTTTCTAACAGTTTGACTGAGACAACATTAGAATCTACARTCCCCTCCGAATGTACTGCATCAGSTMAAACTCTCTTGTTTTTGTTGTTCACTGAAGACATTTGGGTTTAAGATCCAAAGATGAGACAAGAGTTCAGAATGTCAGCTGTTATTTCCTGGTGTTTACATGTGAACCTGATGTATCACAGTTTGTATTACAGCACAGCATCTTTAGGTGAGCAAAAGTATTATAACAAATACTCTTAAAGTTCCTGTGACATCAAATTTTTGCAATAAAAATAAATGTATTTTTGGAAGGATAACACTGATAACATTGTAAAAAATCAGTTCACACCGCTGAGATGAACCGTTCTTGAGATATTCACATGTGAAGAAACAGGAAGTGATGTCAAAGGGGAATGTCTGCATGTAAACAGAGTGTTGCTAAAAGTGCTAACACAGGCTGCAGAGAAAAATCTGATGTTTCTTTAGATTATTTTAATCACTATCATAGAGAGATGAGAGAGTCATAGTTCAAATAATACTAATTCAATAAACAAAAAACAGTTTTCTTTCTCAGAGTTGCCCTTTGATGTCACTTCCTGTTTCAATTTAACTGACCCAAGTTCAAAAATAATAAGCCAAGTATGTGACACAATAGGTAAAATCATGTGTATTACGCCAAGTTTCCTAAATATAAATTATAAATATAAATGATAAATATTTTCTTTGACTTTTTCTATTTCATGAACGTGCGTGTCACAGGCACTTTAAAGTAAATAACATTTAATATTCTGTGATATAACCATTGATGCAGTGACTGCCTCTGTTCCAGGCTTTCACCACAGCTTCTTTCACTTCTGCTTTGTTTCAGAGGGTTTCTGCTTCAGTCTCTTCAGCAGGTGAAATGCTCTGCTGGGTTCAGGTCAGGTTGGGTTCAGGTCAGGTGATTGTTGGGTTCAGGTCAGGTGGTTGTTGGGTTCAGGTCAGGTGGTTGTTGGGTTCAGGTCAGGTGGTTGTTGGGTTCAGGTCAGGTGGTTGTTGG